CCCCCCCCCCCCCAGACCCGCAGAGGAGTTGATAGGCTAACAGCAGATAGCGGCCCGTTGCTTGTCTGCCCGTTGACCCTGGAGGCAGTTAACTGCAGAGCTCGAGGGCGATGCTGTCTTCTTCTTCTTCGGACCTCTCTTCCTCCGCGGGGCCGTGATTTGGCCCGAGTTGTTCCGCGGCGTTGTGATTCTCTTGTCAGTCTGTTGTGCTCCTGCTCACCGTTCAAGCAGGATTCTCCAGCAGAACAAAAAAAGGGCCAGCCCCTCACACACAGTCCCCCCACCCACCCCCGAAAAAAATCTGAAACTTCTTCTTTGCCATTTAGAAAGTGCAAAGGAACTGTTGATGAACTTGCTGTCACACCCCGGAGGTTGAAGGAGAAACTACACTGCAGATATGCAAATGTGGCCAGATGGACTTTCATAAATTTAACCAGAATAAATCTGAAATTATATTATTTGGACCACAGCACTGAACCTCCCTTCTAACATATTCTACTTTTTTATTTATCGATTGAGCAATTATTTCAGTATTCATTCATAATGTAATTGATTTCATTATTTCAAAAAACACGTTGGGTCCCTATATAATGTTTGTTCGTTAATACGTACACTTTGAATTTGTCTGCACATATTATTCATACATCCACCTAAACCTTATGGTATGAAACCCATCTTAGTATTTAAAAAGAAGGCTAACTAAGTGGGGTATAATATAGTACGGCAGTGGTGGAAAGTATACTCAGGTACTGTATAAGTACATTTGTGACAGAAGTATTTCCATTACTTTTCCATTTCTTTATACTTAAACTTCACATTTCAGAAGGAAATCTTGCACATTTTTGCTGTTTACTAATTAAGAAATGACAAAAAAACATATAATCACTCAATATATCTAAATATGATTTGTTGTAGATTAAACCACCCAGCAATGATGTACTAGTACATATAGTAAGTAGTAAACATTACTTCAACCCTGACGAGCTCAGAGTAAAATTCCACTTGCACATGAATGCATTATAGTGACACTAATTTTGCAATAATAAAATACGTAATCATGACCCATAACACTCCAGAACCAGCTATCAGAGCTGTATAAAGAGAGAGATTCCCGTCAATGGAAGTTCTAAATTCTTCATTGTCAAGTGATTCAAAAAGACTTCAGATAGTTCCAGGAAGTACTTGGCAGGCAATTTGCATGTGTACATTTTGGTAGAAATCGGTGCAGACAGAGAGACAAAATTGAGACTTTTGCTAATTAGTAGTCAATAAAATAATCGATTTATAATATTCATATAGATAAACATATATATTTTGTCAATTTTTTGTTTTGTTTTTAATAAAATGTGCTAGTATTTTAGGATTAGTAAGTGTAACAGCTAGAGTTACCTGTCTTGTTGAAATATTTTAGGCTAGAGATCCCTTGTTGAAAGGAACTGAGTGGGATTTAGTGGCATCTAGTGGTGAGGTTGCAGATTACAAGCAACAACATACCGCTCCGTTCCCTCCCATTCCAAGCTGTTGGCCCTCTGGTAGTGATATCGTTAGATTTTATTACTATAAGGAGCTACTCTTATCGATACTCTGTTATTTTTCATGACTAAATAATTGCTTTTACAAACCCAGATATAATTTTTAAAGCAAATAAATTCAGAATAGAATTAAAAGTTATTTATAATTTATATATAACTAAATAGTGTTTCCAGAGCAGCAACAGTAATGTTTAAAAGAGCAAAGTCACTATCAATAATAACGAACACAGACATCAGATATATTTACAAGGACAAACTTGTAAACTTAGACTGCAGACAGACAGCCATTGTTTTAGCTTGTTAGTAAAAAAAATAAAAAGCTTTTGTGTCCAAACATGACATGGGTTGCTTTCATTTACATGTTCGTGCTTATTGAACAGATGCATTGTTAAAGTAATGACTTTTTACTCATGAATGTTAAGTTAAGTTATGATTACAACAGCAAAAAAATGATGCAAGGTAATCGTGCATTTCCAGTTTTTAACAAAAAAAAGACCATACAATTGCGATGATTAAATATGTTTTATTTCTTTTGTTTTTAAAAGTAACAACGCAAGGCTTGGAAAAGTCATGGTGTTGAGACTCAGGGTGCAGGGTCAGGGTGCTGGTGTTGTCACCATTAAATACTCTTGTGCTGAAAGAGAGAGACAGGGAAATGAAGTGTGGTCTTTGTTCCCACACATTAAGTTATGGAACGTCATTGTGATCATCAATAGTGTTTCCATCACTAGTTTATCATCAGCACACATCAGTGCTCCTCCCACAGTAACATTTGTCCTTCTAACCCTACAGCACTCCTGACATGCAGCATCACCGCAGTATGATTAGTTATAATGATGATATATATAACATATTCATTATTACTTATTTAATTACTATAAATGATGTGATTCCTTATGTCATACGGCAATATATACACATTTAGCATGTTTCCTTATTGCATCTTAAAACATACCTTGTTATGTTTTCAATCTCATTAAGGTGAACTCAGCACTCCTGACCTGCAGCATTATTGATGCGAGGTAATCATATTCAAACACAGCATTTGCACGTTTCCACAAATAAAGGCCACACCATTGGGATGATTAATATTGGTTTCTTTTTTTTTTAAAATATCAGTGAGTTGCAGGTGCTCTCCACCCACTGCAAGACGCAGGGTGTGATGGGAAACGCCTGGGTGTCGCCTGATCTAAGAGCTGATTGGCTCTTAGTTTTGACAACAAACACCACGTTTTGTAGAAAATCCTAATTTTCTCTATAATTGTAATCACTACTTTGTTGGCTATTAGTTCTCATGTTGTGCAAAGAAAGTTTAATCTAAAACACCTCTTGTGTGGTTGATAATAATACAACTTATTTGTATAGCACTTATCAAAACGAGTAGCAACGATTTTTTTACAAGGCAGACATAAACAGAATAAAGGATAGAATACAATGCTAGATACACCCACATTTCCACATTAATATATACTTACAAGCAAATATAAATAAATCCGAATGTGGTCTGCACACCACAACAGTTGGGTTACAGTTTGGTGTACATTTATTTGAAATTTAAGTCCAATTATTTTACTTGTAACGTATATACAAATACTTGATTATATACAAATACTTGAGTACCTTTATATTGTGGTATTTCTAAAAATGAACGTTTCTTATGGACGTTAGGTTCATCCACATATTTTGAAAATCTACTAACGTCAAACCGGAAGTAGTCACTGCGCGGATACGTCACTTTACTCCAATGCGGAAGAGGTCGTCATCGTTAAAAGCTGTGAGTTGGAAGCTCTCTGAAATGTGATAAAATTACAGTGATTTTGTAGAGTAGAACATCGTCTGGTTCCATAGTGTGAATGAACGAAGCGGTTTCCGTAAAGCGTGTGTGTTTACCGGACCACGCGGGACTCGGTTTTGGGCTTTTATGGCCTCACAGCAGTTCAGTTCACTGCATGTCTCGTGAGCCAGAATATATCAATGACTGGCTGCATGAAACATTTCAGAAATGACACATTAGTAAAACGTTATTTTGGCCATATATACATCAACTGCGTCATTGTTTCTGACTAGCGAATGGTGGGTTATAATGTTGACATTCATAACCATTTTAAAAATAATTTAAATCACCTATTTTTAGACTGTTGAAAGCCCGAACATGTCGTGGATAAGAGAGGGGGAATTAAACCTGCTTGAGAAGATTTCAGCCAATATCCTGAAGGTAAGCCTAATGTTGTGTATTCTTGTGTACTTTGTATGTACTTCTCGTTTTTATCCCCCCGAAAAATAAATAAGCTTCCAAGCTGTGTTTGTAAAGACAGACTAAAAACTCACTGCACAGTATATATATATATATATATATATATATATATATATATATATATATAAATAAAGCATGTGCCACTGTTTTCCAAATCTGAACAAACATAGCAGATACAAAATGAAAAATGTGGCATTGTATTATTTTTTCATTTTGATATTAATTCTTAAGGATGTGTAATTCCTGTATTTGTATCGTGCCGCAGACAGAATATTCTTCTCCATCCAGATGTTTAGAAAAGTCTTTGAGGATTCTGTAAACACCTGGTTAACCTAAGTGTTGTTAACTGTCTGGGTTTTTCAAAGATCAACAGTTTTTTCTTAGTTTAGTGACTCGACTTTAATGTTTATACATAGGAGCACAAAGCCAGAGTTTACGTCTTTAAATAGCTTGTTTAGTTCGATAATACTGAAGCACCTTTCCACTGTAGAAGCTTGAACCAGAGAATATTTGGCATGTTATCACAATTGTTTGCCTTTTTTCTTTCCTGTTGATTGGCAAATCATTTAAGCTCCATACGACCTTATTATTAACATTACTTTGTGTCTCTATAACCCTAATTGCTCTTGACTCCCCTGACCTGCATTGTGTGTCCCAGGCTGGACCCATGCCTAAACACGTGGCCTTCATCATGGATGGCAACCGCCGCTTTGCGCGTAAGAAAAACATGGAGCGCCAAGAAGGGCACATGCAGGGCTTCAACAAGCTGGCAGAGGTGAGCTCAAAGCCTCTCAAACACATGTCACCTAAGCATAAAACCGGTTGCTCATTTACGTGTGTCCCTTTGTCCCTTCTACACCAGACATTACGGTGGTGTAAGCACCTGAACATCCGAGAGGTTACAGTGTACGCCTTCAGCATCGAGAACTTCAAGCGCACTCAAAACGAAGTGGATGGGCTGATGGAGCTGGCCAGGCAGAAGTTTGAGAAGCTGTTGGATGAACGGTGAGTTTCATGTTCAGGAGTTTAAAAAAGCCGTTTTTTTTTTTCTTCGCTGGTTGCTTTCGGGACCAGTCACATTTTATACATGTTATGATTCACAGCTTCCTTAAAGTTAAGTCGAGAGGAACCAAATGCAGTGACTGTTTAGTGTAGTTAAAGTAAGTTAACTGTCTTTGTAAGACTGAACCGTCGAGGTGTCAGTTTCAGTGTTTTGGCTTCAGATGGATAGTAAGTAGTCAAGTGTAACAAGAACTTTTTCAAACTCCCTGTTCAATGCTTTTATATCTGCATAGTTCAGTTATAACTGGATACGCTAACATTGTCCAATGAGTAAGATATACTGCGGACTGAAGGGGAAAAAAGGCTGACTTATAAATAGGAGTCTACAATATCAGTTATTTCCATGATATTGTAGCTGACACTGACTTCTCCCCTATAACACACCAGAATATCTAGTTTACACCTTTTAGATTTGGCCTCTTATTGTTCTGTAAATGTAAAGAAAACATATTAAAACCAATCAACAAGTAAAGGCTCGTTAATCTGCAGTTCCACAGATGACCACTAGAGGTTGATCCAAGAGTGATCGAGTCTGTTTTATTTAGTCTTGTATCGACTTGCCTCCTGTTGCTGCCTTGAATTATCTGGTTAAATAAAGGTAAATAATAATGTTCAATAGTCTTGGATTGAATGTCATCTTGGATGTTTCATCCTCGTCTAAATGGTCATTTTGTTCTCCCTGTTTCTTTTTCTCTTGATTGTTCCACTCACCCCTCTTTACTCTCTCCTGTAGGGAGAATCTGGAGAAGCATGGCGTGTGCATCCGGGTGCTGGGCGACTTGAATATGCTGCCGCTGGACCTTCAGCAGCTTATTGCTAAAGCTGTGGTCAGCACCAAGGCGCACAATAAGTACGTGTTTTATTGATTTGTTCCTCTGCTGCTATGACACCTGTCATTAGTGGCTCACCCCGACCGCCACACTGGCCATGTGACATAAACAGATTTTGTGTATTATAAATGACCACAGATACACAAATGTTTTGCAGATGTTTCCTGAATGTGTGCTTTGCCTACACGTCGAGATATGAAATCACCAATGCGGTCAGAGAAATGGCTTGGGGAGTGGAGCAGGGCTTGATCAAAGCAAGGTGACGAACGGCAAAGACAGTTCTGCCAACACCCACAATGCAACATGGGGATCTTTTTCTAACAAGTTTGTGTTGTTCTGTGGTGCTCAGTGACGTTTCTGAGCCTCTGCTCAGTGAGTGTTTGTACAGCAATAAATCTCCCAATCCTGATCTGCTCATCCGCACTTCTGGAGAGGTGCGACTCAGCGACTTCCTTCTTTGGCAGGTGAGGAGGACAATGACTGCATGGGAAAAACAATGATTTTTTTATTATGATTATCATTAACTTTGAAAACACTGAAGTAAGATTGGAGATATGAATTCCAAGGCTTGGTTTAGTGTTAAGTGATCAGTGCAAATGAGTAGCACTGGCTACTCTTCAGGCGTAGTAGCTGTAACCCCTGTTAGACAAAGCGTGGTTTTAACGAAGGCTTTTAGTTTATGTAGACACAGCCGTGAATATGTCTTTGATGCATACAAAAGATATCTGAAAGATATCTTTGTCAGATTAAGCCTTTACAGCAAAGCAGACAAGTCTACTTTTAGTTTTTCCATTAAGACTTTGTGGTGATCTTCAGAAAGCAGCTGGGATTTTCCATCAGAATTTGGATTATCGAAGATAAAAAAACTCTGTGGCATACACAAGCTTATGATAATTAAATGTTTTGTTCAGCAGGTTAATCTTCATGAGAACTCACTATTATAATTTGTGAAGCATGAAGGTTAGGCTATAAACAAACTACACCACGGTCACATGAGCACGAGTAAACACAGCGAGGCTGTGAAGGGGGACTAGTCGGCGTGATGACGTTTTAACACGTTTCAAGGCTTCAAAATTCACTAGAGGGGTATTTACAGAGGCTTTCTACATCGTAGAACAAAACATTAACATCTCTAAAGCCTGTGTTAACCACAGACCTCAGTCCAAACATCTAACCAAAAACCCCATTAAAAATAATAACATTGAATGTGAGACGAGGAACCAGCAGTGCAAAAATGAAAAGTAATTTTCAGGTTTTCGGACTCTTTCCTGCAGCACTCTATGTAGCAGCAGACGAAGTTGAGTTTCACCAATAACAAATAGATTTTTAATAAAGGGTCATTTTTATTTAACAAAATCAACAATACCATGTTACGATCGTAAGAAGAGCACGCCATTTGTTTTCATGTACAAGTTTGTTATGATTTATATATTCATATTTTTTTTATGCCAATAACAACAATGTGTTATCCACCATATTAGGGTTGCAATCTATGATGGACAGCATTAACCAAGTAGACTAAATGATTGGATCATAATGTCAAACACTTCACAGCTTCTCCTCTCAGACTCCTATTGATTCTCTTTATTTCTATATATATTTATATATATGTATATTTATGTCTCCCACTCTGCAGACGTCCCACTCCTGTCTAGTGTTTCAGTCGGTTCTGTGGCCCGAGTATTCGTTCTGGAACCTGTGTGAAGCCATTCTCCAATATCAATTAAATCACACATCCATTCAGGTAAGGCCTGCATGAGGGAACGTCTCAGAATACAGAGGCCTTGCAGAAGACAAGGGTCATATTGTTTGCGTTTTGGGAACTTTGCCAAAAGTGTCGATTCCGCTGCGCTCCTCTTGTCACTTTTGAGACGGTAGCATCATAAAGCAGATATCCTGCTGGCTGTCTTTTAAATCAGCAGAGTTCCCAATCTCAAGAAACGCCAAATATTGCCAGCTTTATGTTTATTTACTGCAGGGTTATTGTTTTGTAAGATGTTTATATTATATCGTCCAACCACAGAATGTCACTCTCGTCACTTGTCAGTTATTCTGTCACAACACATAAATTAGAAAAATGTGATGTTGCAAAGCTGCAAAAGCTCTGATAACCGTAATACCTCGTCTCTATGACTTCAGCCTCCAGTCACATGATGTGTACTGTATCAGGATTCCTGTATACATCTACGTTGTTGTTGTCTTTTAGAAAGCCAGAGACCTCCATCGAGAGCACCAGGCCTCACAGCAGCTCGAGGCGGACCGTGCCTGTGTCGCAGAGCACCTGCAGCATCGTGGGAACGGGAAGCCCGCCGATGCACAGAGAAGACAGGAGGCCCTGCTGCACTACACCACCCGCCGGGAAGAACGGATTCAGGACTTCCTTGAAGCGCTGAAGCACAAGAGAGACTCTTTCATTCATGACTTGTGGAGCGACGCTGTCTCGGCCTAGGAAAGGCTCCGAGAAGGATGAAACCTCCCCGGTCCTCTTCCCAAAAGGAAGAAATGAAGAGTGAACAGTAACAGTAGCTGTGTTACTGGTTTGTACAAAACGAGAGGGCAGTTTTACCCCTATGGGGCTGTAAAATAATCAATATTTATGATTGAAGATCTAAAAAAGAAAGTCTAATAGGTGGAAACGTCTGGTCAAGATGTAGTTAAGTAATTGTGTAAATTGTCTGTCAACTGCATGCTATTGATTGGAAGATCTAATTACATGAATGAATGCCAGGGATCCCAAAGCAGCCGTCCAGATTAATGTAAGTCAGAGCAGTTTTGTTGAGTGTGAACTTTGATGACATAACTATATTTTGACCAGCCTCCTTTAACAGAATAAAGCGATTATTGTATGTCCGCTACGATTAAGTACAATTCCGACCTTTGTTCTTGCATACCACATGTTAATAGGCTGTCTTTGAACAGTTATTGCCTCCGTCTGACTGTTAATACGTCGGTATGTCAAGTCTGAACTCAGTAGAGAAATATCACTTGAATCTCAGATTTCTGTTTGGTCCACGAGATTACTGAGGTCTTTCTACAGATCAACAGCCAGATCAACTGAACCTCTAGTTTCTACTTGTAGCTGCTGGAGTCAGTACTGGACCTCTCCACTGATTCACATGGTAGATGTACAGTTTTAATTGAGCAATCCATTGCGTATATTAAATCAGTCGGATTGTATATATTTGCTATTTGGTCCGAAGCAAATATTTACTTCGTAGTTGTAATGTTTTAGTACATATAAAGCTCGGTAAACTATGACTCCTTCAATTTTATCTCCTACTTATTTTATTCCATTTTCCTACGTCCAAACTGCAAAAACATCTTCTTAATCCACTTAGTAGAATTAGGAGTTTTAATGCCCTTCCATAGGAAATATTAATATTATCAAAACTAATATTTTCAGTGAGGCAATCCTAATGCAACTGATGTCACTTTAATCCAATGGGGTAAGAAATATTGAGGTATTTAACTTAAAAGTAGCAATACCACAGTATCAAAACATCAAAGGATGATTAGCAACAAAATGTACTTAAAAGTATCTACAGTCAAAAGTACTACAAAGCTAAATGGCCCCATTTTGGGTGTTTTATTGATGATTTATGAATAGTTAGAAAATAATTACTAATGCATAAACAAGTATGCAGCATTTTAATGTCATGGTGGAGCTAATTTAAACTACTTTATATTCTGTTGGATAGTTAACATTCACCTGTTTTGCATTGAAAAATGGGATTTGAAAGCTAATTAATATAGATTTTGTTAATAGAATTTTTTTACTCTGTGGCATTGCTACTTATTTTGTCGGTAAAAGTACTTCTTCTACTTGGCCTACTTGTTTATGATGCAGTGCATTTTTTTAGACTACAAACCTCAGAGCCCTTCAACACAGCGCCCCCTCGCGACACTGATCAGTATTTTCCCGGGTTGCTCCTGCCTCTTTAACAAATGGGCGGCGCTTGGACGCACGTGACGTATTTGCATCCAATGACAGACAGCGAAACACAAAACCGGTTCGAACCGGTTTCGTTCTTATATTTCAGCGTATAAACTACAAAAAACATTCGTTTGCATTATACATTCGCCATTTTACGCAGCGACTGGTCGGTTGTTGTGTGTTATCTCTGCGCGAGAAAAAAAAAAAAAAAAAAAAAACGATTCAATTTGTTGTGCTCTCTGTCCACTTCCTATCAACAACATGGGCAAATCGAAGGTAAGATATTTTAAATTTATTGAATCTCCGTGCACTAGGTTCGTGTTAACTCGGGTCAACCGTTAGGCTGCGTTTGATATATCTGCATCAGAGGAACGTCATCATCCCCAACAAACAGTGCAGCCATGGCGGTCCGACGGGGAGAGAGACCTGGGCGGGCATCCTCCCAGTCGGCAAAAATTAAAGTTGCACTCTAGATAGTAACGTCAAATGCACCGTTATCGGTCAAACACGACTGGTACCGAACATAATGTTATTTTCACGCCCTGCGCCAAATGCTCCGACAAGTGCAGCCGTTGACATTGCGCTGTCTTGTTTTTTCCCTCTTTGGCAGCAGGTTTTTTTGGGGGGGGCGGGGGGTGATGTTGACGGTTTACAGATAACGTTCCGCGCTGAATCGTTAAATGTATAACTGGTAGCTGTTGGGTCGATATGAACGCGTAAACTCGCGACCTACTTAATCACCGATTGTTTTTTTTGTTACCAAGCAATCGAAATAGTAAGTTCTAAGCACAACTTGCACATGTCTTGACGGAGTTGGGGGAGGGGAGGTCACATTTATTTATTTATTTTTCCCTCTTGTTTTGAATCGGAAAAGTCCGACTTGCTCGTGCATGTTTGTTTAAAACGGGTTTAACGTTGAATTTAATCACATTTGGCGGAACGATATCTCGGTCGGCTGACTTTACTACAACGTTACACGTGCGCGTGTCAGTAAATTAACGAATGCATTGATGTGGACATTTTTTTTTCTCAATTAATAATATATTTAATAAGTCAACATTGCGTGTCGAGATTAAACACCCTGTAGCATATGGTTTTATTTAAATTATATTTGACATGAAAAATAAATAAAGGGTTTTCTTTCTGAAATCTCAACCTTTTTTTTAAAATTTTATTTAAAATTGTTTTGCAACCTCTGCAGGCTTTTGTGTGGCTGCGTTTCGTTACACGGCTACAGATTAGTAAAGTATTAATCTTATCAGTTTCCCGACAGCTGTCTATCTGCGCGCACTGATACAAAACAAAGGAAGCTGTCAGGGCGCCAAAGCGGTGTCATAGTGACAGGACAGCCCGAATTTGAATTCAAATATGCGCGGGAAGTCCCTTGTCAGGTCTTTTATGTTATGTCTGCAGAACTCCGTGATTTTAAGATTAAGTGATATTTGAGTTTTTGTGAATAATAATATTAAAATTGTTATGTTTATTTTCTTCTATTCTTTGTCTTTCAGGCTGTCCGCCCTGAGGTTTGTACACATATTTGTTGATATTATTCATAATCTATTGATGCTCTTGTTATTGCCATTGTATACAAATACTTTGTAATACATTGATAACTGAGATTTGCAGTTAATTGTTGCTTTTGAGTGTAATTTAATTTAGGTTTTAGTTTTCTGTTTCTGTCATTTTGATAAGACCAGCCATCTGATGCCCTCTTTAGGGCTGTGAATAGCATGTTTAGTTAGTGTCATCATGCAAATGAGTTACATCTGCAATCGTTACTGAAGGTTTTCTTCCTCTATCTCAACAGGAAAGACGATTTTCCAAGCGGCTGGCTGCTGTGGTAAGAAACATGATTAATCCGTTATCAAGGACTGCTATGTTGTTTTGTGATTATTCTTACTCTTCACCCACAAGTTGGTTTTCTAAAAGCAGCTTCCTCTGATTAACTTAAACTTTGAAATTTGAATCAGCATAAACTCATTGTCTGTCACAAACGTGCTTCACTCAATATCAATTCATCCTTAACCCTTTTGTAATTACAATAGTGAACAGGGGGGTTATTTTTGAGAGATGGTCACAAAACTAATAATGTGCCTCGTGTCAGCAGCCATTTTTTTTCTTCTTCTACTGTTAAATACTAAATGAAATGTCTTTTTGTTTTGCAGAACCCTCCCAGAGTGCTGGAGGTTAAGAAGAAACCTGCTGTAAAAGTATGAAACCGATAGCTAGCTGATATCAACAGAACATCTCTGTGTGCCGCATGTCACTTGTGAAACTGATTCATGGCCTTCACTTCCTGGAAGCGAAACTAATTGTGGCCTAGTTCAAGGAAACTATATGGGAGAATACCCTTTTGATGAACAATTTAGACGTTTTGGTATCCTTGTTTTTCCTTCATTAATCTGAAACGTGTGATAATTGTCTAATCTGTTGGTAATCAATTTTCTTGTCATTTGTAGAAGGCAATCAAAGCAAAGAAGACCAAACTAGCTGAAAATGGGAACGCCAAGGCTGAGGTTTGTTTCTTTAATGAGAAAGATCTTACACATCAGTTTTCTTTTCTTTTTTTTGCAGGAAATTTGTGCCGTTAACTAATAAATAATTAATCAGAACTATCCAAAGTATGTAAACTTGTATAAAGAGTGTCGCGGTGAGCTTACAATACTCATTTGAAGGAATGATTTTAGTATTTGTAGGGTATTCAATACATCCACACAGCTGCTAGCCTTCCACAAAACTTCATTTGACAACTCAAATTACATATTTCTGTGTTTTGAAGTACAAGCTTGAGGGCACAAAAGTTTAAAAATAGTTCTCCTGATATTAAGGATGTGCCGGTATCTTTGGAAGTGTGGTTGTGAGCAAAAGCTGTATTTATAAACTGAAAGAAAGACACTACCAATCAAATGAGAGTTCGGGGGGGAATCAACAGCATGAAGATCACAGTGAGGAATGTGCTGCTAAAGAAACGATGCTTATGAAGTATAACTCTTATCTTCTGTCCCCAGGAGCCAAAGGCCGAAGCCGCTGAAGCCAAATGAATAACAGTTGATGTGCTCACTCTGTGTACTTGGTGATTGTACAGTTTTAAATTAGTATTTTTTACCAAGTTTTATATTACAAATGTCATTTATATGTTTGTTTGGGCTTGCACTTGTAACAAAAGTTTGTTGTCACATTCATATCCATTTTATATCCATTTAAAAATGATTACCGTCCATATCTCGTAGACGTGGCATTTTTAGTTTGTCTAATCCTATTTTATTTTTTTTTGTTGTTTTTTTTAAACTGCTGAGTAATAGATATTTTCCACCAAGTTGGAATTGGAATCTAATTTTAAACATTATGAGGCAGCTAAAGCATATTGTTAAAATTTGAGGGAAAATAGGAATTTTGCCTTTTATCTCCTTGTATTTGAATGTCAAACTAATAAGAAATTGCTTACCAAATGTTTTTGAAACACTGTACGTTGAAACAAGTTCCAATCAGTGAAAACACCACAAAAAAAATCCTGTTATTAGGTGAAAAAGATTGATGCATCCCAAAAACATGTACGACGTCAACCTGGTCATCTGATGAAAAGTCCCGTTAAGTTATGTTTCTCTCCTGACTGAAGCTTTTCTGACTTTAATGGCTGATCTAAATGTTCTTGAATAAAAATTGTCAAAATGTTTTCATGGCATTACTTTGTTGCGACATGAAAACATAAATAGGGGAAAGGGAAGTCGTTTAGGTTCCTATAAGTGCACAGTAACCCCCAAAACTAATGTCATGTCTTTAAGATAATCAACAAAGATGTTCTTATTTCTCCTCGTGCCTTCTGAGGTTTTACGTTGGAGGCTTAGTTTTTATTTTCCACCTGCTTTAATCTTAAAAAGGTTTATTCTCTACGCCTACTTGGTTTAGGGAGCTGGTTGATTTGAAATGATGAGCCTGAATGTCTCTGGACATTATAAATCCCTGAACCAGATAAAAGCTAAGCGGTTCTGTAAAACTCCTAGAAATGTCCTTTTGAAAGGTGTAAAAACTACACTTGTGTGAATTAAGCAACAAACTATATACTGTATTCTAATTGTATGAATGTGCTGTTGCATCAAGTAGTATTCTCTCATTGTAGTTTGTCCAGGTGCTGTTAGGTAGATCATCTCAATCTATACTCAGCATGTGCCAAAAGAAGGCTCCAGTAATCCTCAACTCAAATGTGAAACAGTGGAGCGGATTTATAAAGTTGCACAAAATTGAAATATCCGTCCCGGTGTAAATATTTCAGCAGAAATCAGTATTTGAGTTGAAACTGCTTTGATGAGTTCCCCGGCTGTTGAGAAGCTCTCGGTGTCTTTGCGCCGTAGCGCCAGTAGAGCGCAGCGTCACACCAAAGTCAGTCACATGTGACACATTTTGTTTTGAGACCTTTAACCAGACGTCCAGGGTCCTGCTGCCTTTCTGGTTTCACACAGTGAGATATGGGTCAGGAAGGCTACAGGTGACCAAAGTTACAACGCAGCAAACAGCTGTTCACGATCCTTTAAGAAATCCTTCAATCTTTTGTGACGATTACTTGAAAGCTGTTACGGTCAAGGTCTTTTAAAACATGAGAAATGTTTATTGTGGTGTAGATATACTTCCCATGTTATACATATTTTGTATATTAATCTGGTATTTACTTCCCCTCTTTTTGTTTAAACTGTCTGTTGTACTGTGGTTTTATTAATAAAGTTGTAAAAGATATTGTAGATTCTGTCCCTTTTCTCTTCTTGAGTATGAACCAATCATTTTCCAACTTTGAAAATGCTATTCGTTTAAAAAACAGCTCACCAATCACACCATAACTTCCACTTAGTAGCTGTTCTGGAGCTTTCGGTCAAACCACACGATCTTCCTCATCACACGGAGCATCGCTGGAGCGTTGTCATTTTAATAGATGTGTCAATCTCAATTTATAAACCATCAGAGATAAAAACATCTCATCCATCTGCTGAGGAAGATTGTGTGATTCGATCAAAAGCTCCAGAACAGCCAACGAGTGTACAGTGGATAAAAACAGTAAATGCCATGTGTACATAAGGTGACTGCAGCAGCATTCAGTTGGTTGGGGGTCATATACATTCCTACATACTGTAGAGTAAACGCATACTTTAAATCAGTATAGCTGTCATGTCTCTCCACATGTGGTAAAGACTGCAGCACAGCACAGGTCAATTACTATGTTGGAAACAGCAGGCACAAACACGACATCATTCATGCATCAGATTGATATTAAACCGACGTGTGTTTTTCCACTGTATCTGTAGGTTGAGAATGCAGTCCACTGACCCCGGCGACATGCAAAAAGCCATGCAAAAAGGTCCCATCAGCTCCAAGACACACAGACTTTGTCGTTGTTTAGCCTCTTTTTCTTGTTGTTTCGCGTCCCTTCGTAGTCATTATGTGTCTCTCTGTGGGTTTTCTGTCTCTTTGTAGTCATTTTGTGTCTCTTTGTAGTCTTTTGCAGTCGTCCCTTTTGTAGTTTTTTCATGTCTCTTTGAAGTTGGGTTGATTGTGTGATACAAAACAAAAGCTCCAGAACCGGCACTGATTGGACAATGTGGTGGGATTGCTTTGATCAAATACTGTTTTATAGGTACAGAACCTTTTTCAGTTCATTTTTAAGATTCTGATCACTTTAAGGAGGCTATATTGGCTGGAAATTGAGATGGATAGAAATTGTTGTTTGTCTTTTAAGCTAACATGGACGAGAAGTGTTGTGTTTAGGCGATCGTGTCAACTTGCTGGGCCACTTCATCTGCTGAGGAAGATGGAGTGATATGAAAGCTCCAGAACATCTACAAAACTGACCTCGTCATAAGATTGTTTTGTCGACAAATTCATTTTTAATCTCTTCCAAAGAGCAACCAACCTTAGTCTGTTTTTATGCAATTTCCCCACACCTGCTTTACCTATTTAACATCTAAAATATCAACTTAATAAATGAACAAATGCGTTTCAGCCATTTTATTTAGGCCACATTTCCACAGTGTACACATGACATGTGCGGGTAGTCTATGTGTTGGCATTTCACGGTGTAAAAACCAAACTAAATGGACCAGCATGTCCTTAACATGACAGCAAAACATGGACGAGCCCATTTCTCCCTCACGTGAGGGGGGGGGGGGGGGGTTCATGCACACCCCCATGCGTTGTGTGTGCCGCAGGAATCAGAGTGCCACCCCCCCCCCCCGCCCCGCCCATATAGGACATTGTCCCGGCTTCCTATAAAGTCTGTACATCGTGTAAGCTACATGTTGTGCTTTTCACCCAAACGCAGACTGAGCGGCCCCCCTAACCCGTCCTGAAACCCCGCTGCAGCTGCAGGTAAGCGCACTAGTCTCCAAGAAATGTAAAGCTGCAAAAAGAAAGAAGTAACGGATGAGGAGCAAAGCGTCCACAGCTGGTGTTACGACTCGTATGGAAGAAAGAAAAGTGTCTGTCTCTGTGTGGTAGTAGTTGCTCTGGGTTGTGGTTTGTTAGCTGGTTTTGTTTCCTTATTAAAACTTAAATCTTTTTGGTTTTGCGGAGGTTTTATGAAAAAATAATCGTAAAAGCTGTTGTTGAGCTCGTTTGGTAGCGAATTGAGTCAATTGTCTGCTGATGTTGAAACTCTAGAGTTTTAAAGGGCAAACACACCTAATATGAGAAGCTGCGTGTGAAACATGTGACATCCATGAATTGAGTAATGGAATTAATTGACATTTTAAAAGGTAAAGTATGCATTGGTTTATTTTGGTGTGTTGTGCAGCTGACTGGGACCAAATAGTAGATGTGGTGTTTTTCTTTTCTTTGGCAGTACATTTGGTACCAACACTGTAGTTTAAAATGACCATTAGGCATCATTTTATGTGTTATTTGAGTCTGTAATGAAGATTTTCATGATGTGAGCTTAAAAGTCTGGGGAAAAAAAAAAAAAACTCTTTGGTTTTGTTTCTTTAATGCATCCAAAAAATGCAAAATATAGGAACTTGACTCTTGTTAAAATTTGCTTTCAGTGCGTCTGTCTGCTCAGCTCGTGTTTAAGTGAGGTCGGTTGGATTGGTCTGTTCTCTTGGGTCACTTTCCTTCTGTTGATTGGATTTACACTCGTGTGTCGGCTTAGCTGGGTGGCTTTCTAACAGTAGGTAGGCGAACAGTTTAGCCTGACGCTAATTAAGAAGCTTGAGGTTTGGCTCATTTAACTGACAAAGCTTCATTCTCCAATGTGGTGCGCTCCCAAATTCAACTTTTACTTTGTGTCAGCCATGTTGGCGTCTTCACAGCAGGGGGCCCAAAATGGAGGCCATGTCTAGAGTTTCATTGTAGCATACACCTTGATTGGCCAATAAGGGGGTGGCTCTGACATTCCCTTTAATTGATCTTAGTTGAGCTCAAACGATTGGTCGATCAAAATAGAATTAGTAGCTCTGTGAACTTGCGACAGGCCTTTTTGTTTTTACTATTTTTATAGAATGATTAAGCGTAGAAGTGTCAGACAGATTGATTATAACAATAATCAGTGGTTGCAGCCGTAATTATTTTGTGGTGAGTTTCTACACAATTTTTGATGTTTGTGTGTGAGTAGTGCGTATGACACGTGATGCAGAACCAAAGTTCACAAGTGCAAACTTTTAGCTGTGTGTGTGTGTGTCAGTCACATGGGAACAGTGTGTCAGTGTTGCTCCACCTTTTTTGGAGGTTAACTTTATGTGACTGGAAACTTATCCAACATGCTAAAGCACATTACATGCCTTCACCCAGACCGGTGGGACGAGGAGAAAGCAAACTGTAGCCCAACGCCTCAGCTCCGCTGCTTCTAAGCAAACAGGATAAACCTATTACTAAAGCAATGGGCATATAGCCAAGGTGGAACAAATGGAAACACTCCTCCTTCAGCTTTAATGTTGGTGTTTTTATTTTTTCTTTACATTTTTATTAATTTTCAATTTCATAGCATAAGGGATGCCTTTTCAGTTTTATAGCCTTTTGTTCAGTGCTCGTGCAGTGTATAATACACAAGTGTCTGAAATGTTACTTATTTTTATGATGGAAATAGTTTTACCAAAGTTGCCAGTTTGCAAAAATGCTACCTCAGTCTCCAGCAATAAGACTGTTTTCTGTCAAAATAAATGAAAAACTTATCGTTTTTACATTTGTTTTTGATTTTCTTTCTGCCGTCTCGGTGGAAAAAGTGCCTCTTAAACCAGGGTGTGAACTGAACCTTGTACTATTATTACACTCCTTGTAGCGACAAAATATGTTCTTTACGATGATGGACTTTAAATATTTAAACTGAGAACTCAAAGGCGCACATAGGCTTCTGATCAGCAGTCGTCAGTTACAGCATTGCATCACAGGCAATGGTGCACATAGCGCAGAGAAACCATGGTAGCAGTCGTGTACATGCCATAGTCCTGAATGTGGCAGAAGCCTAGATAACGATTGCCTGACCAGACAGTCAGGTTGATGATGACGTAATCCTTAACTGCTGTTGCCCGGCAGGAGACTTTTATTTTGTCGATTGTGGTGCTGCAGCTGCTGCGTCGGTCTTTCCCTCTGCTGCCATCCACACTCACTGGCAGGAGATCCCCCTGCTGCCAGCAGGTGGGCTGCAGAGGGACCATTGAGGGACATGGGAAGGCGGGACCAAGAGAGGAGGAAAGGAGTGCTGGTATCTCATTGGCTGTTAGGTGTTAAGTACACAATGTACCCGGTAAATGTTTATGGGCCGAGTGCAGGCTGATTGAAATCCTCCCCAGGGGCTTTTTATTATCACTCTCAGTGGGAGAGGAAGTAAATTGAATTCAGATGCCTTTGTGTTTTCATAACCTCTCCTGATGGAAATATGTTTTCTGTATCTTTCTACAAGCTTCAAACCAATTTTGTATTCCTGGAAATTCAATAATTTTTTTTTTTTTGTGTTTGAGGTAACTACAAAGTAGTTTTGCCAGAAAGCAGACATTGTCCATGTGTTACTCATGCAGTTTGTCAACAGCTGGTATGTTGAAACGTGGTCACAACCTGAGTGATACACATGTGGGGGAAACGCCCTCTCGCTGTCACGGTAGTCCGCAGGTAAACCTGAATAGTTCACGAATGATTCACCTGGCCTCCTGCCAAGGCACGTATAGTGAACCACTCCTAAACACTCGCACATCAACATGAATCAGCTGTAAGGCTGTTCTGGAGTCACACTTGTGACATGTTTACATAAATCCAAAAGAAACTATGCCAAACTGCTGTCTTTATTATTATTATTATAGCATATTCACTCTTAGTCTTGCACCCCCATGTAGTTGGAGAGGCAGCTTTTTTTTTTTTTTTTTTAAATGGTCAAAGATATCTTGACTTTGAGTCTCCAGTATGGCTCATGCTCTAAAAACGCTGGCTCCTACCACTCCCACAATTCACCTCAATAGTATCTATTATTTGACCGACCATGCCCACTTCTTTCAAACGTCTCACCGCCAGTTTGAAACGCAGGCTGTCTGCTAAAAACTTTAAGTCTCAAACCTAAACAGAAGACAGTAAAGGCGTTTATTAGGAAGTCTGCTAAACGTATATGTGTTAGAGGAACATGAGGAACTGTATGTTGTTACAGAAGAAACTCGGACAATTTAAAAAAAAAAAAAAAAAAAAAAAAAATGCAAAACGCAGCAGCCAAGTGATTTTAGATTTTGAGTTTAAAACACAGAAAGGGGAAAGCGCTTGAGTGTGGATGAAACGCCATTCCCTGAGCTGTTCCTGTCTTATGGAGACCTGGTTGGCAACGAGCCTGCATCCCCATTACTATTATTTTTCTCCTAATGTGCCTCCACACACTCGGATCTTTGACACCTAAAAACTACTTGTATGAGATTATAGTAGACTTGCTTGGACTCTTTGATTGCATCTTATGCTGTAAAGACCTCATGAGTTCAACTTGTTGTTAATGTGACTTTGGTTCTTGTTTGACACTGACATTAGCAGCCCTACGTACCGCCTTGTTGATCAGATGCCAATTTTTTTTTTTTTTTTTTGTCTTTGTTCAAGGTGTGATCAAACTCCACGAAGCCCAAATATCCTGATAATGCCTTGTGTGATGATTTGTCAGTTGCAGCGTAATGTTAACACTAGCTTGTCATCAAGGATCCATGGATCGTGACTATGTTCAGTGAAATGGAAACAGATTATATAACACCGACAGCCACTAGAGCGATTAATACACACGGCTAAAATAAATGTTATTATAAGACTATTATAGTCCCATGTTTCTAATCTGGTCTGGCATTTCATTTCTGCTCCAGCTGAGATTAAATGGCCACATCAGGCTGGTTATGCAACTCTACTCTCTGACATGCGTGCTGCTTTGAAGAAGGCAGTGTCACGCAGTGTTCTGTTTGCGTTATTCCTATTTAACATCATATCTGATGGTTCACAAAGGGTTTTTCTAGTTTTTGGGAGGAGGGTTCGTTTGGGTGAAAGTAACCCACTGAGAGTAATGCATTTCGACAGCATGTATGTGTTCTGAAAGTGGGCGTGAGCTTGAAGGCTAGCCCGCAGATCGGGTTGGGTGAGTGAAGCTGTATAAAAAGGCGGAGCGCGGCGCAGAAGCTCTCAGTAGTTCAAGTTCGTTGGCATCTGTTAGGATTTTTCAGCGTGGTTGGGAAGTGGAGGGTCCCGCTGCTCTGGGCTTTTTTTTTTTTTTTTTTTCGCCAATCAAAACGGCCTCTGGGAGGTGAGGAATCTCGACCAGTTTGGTCGAGTAACAGCAATTTATTTTACACCAGGAGTTGCTTTGAAAGCTTGGATTGCATTTCTGTTTCTCGTGAGGGGTGTAACTCAAACCAGGTTGGCACATTAATGCTTCACGCATGTTTCTACCTGATCCTCCTCCTCCTCGCCTTCCCTGGAGCCTTGATCACAAACGTTGTCAATCCCAGCTGAGCGTGACGTTCCTTGTTGTCTTATCACCTTTTTGGAGTTTGTCTTTTTATAATGTACATCCTCATCTGCTCCATCTTTTATCTCTTGGGATGACTCTTTCCCGTCCTTTCAACAGTAGAGAACATCCAATTTGTAAATGTTAATTCTTGCCTTCTCCCTGTACTTTTTGTTCTTTTAAGCCACGGTTAGACGGACATCCATCCCTCCATATGCTTTGGTGCTCCTACTCAACAACTGGTTATCCAACAATCATGCAAAACTCCACTTTCTTAATAGGTTACACAGAATTGCCATGCGTGAATAAACAAAATTTTCCTTTGCTGTATCAGTTTGGAGCGCAGCATGAATAGATGCTTTGGTGCAAGCATGACGGTTTTAATAACAGAGGGGTTTAAGGGGCATTCCGGGAGGAAATGGTGTCAAGTAGGTCGGATCTAAAATATTATATGATCGCTTGTATGTTACGTTTTCTCTATATGGCGCTCCTATTGGATCAGCACATGGGAGTTTAGTGCCGTGCCTGCAGGCGAGACGTGTTCCTCCCTCTTGCATAGGTCAGACGGTTTATTTGGGAGGTCCTCTTTTAGCAGCAGTACTCAAAAACTCTCCTAAAAGTTTGGTTTTGAAAGTAGATTGTATCTGATTCTTCTATAGAAGTTGAGTAACGACTGGATACTAGATTTGCATTTATATATATTTTTTGTCCATATGTTTTAGAGACTCGACTGACTTTAACTTCTGGTGGATATTTTAGTTTCCTGGCTGTATTTCTGTCGGTATCTCACATTTCTGAGCAGTTAAGTGAATTCTCCCTTTTTTTTTTTTTTTTTTTTTGCAGGTCTTGAGAGCCACCCCAGCTCTTCCCTCTGTTTGGCCTCACCACATCAACAGACATGATCATCAGACTGGGCAGGCTGACACCCGGATACTTCCGCCTCCTCCAGGTATGTGCAGATTCACCAGTGTGTGCAGATGATGGCTGGGATATACTTTGCATAACTCTAATTTGATGTGATCGTTTCTGAGGATGAAAATGTATGACTGGCGTTTTATACTGGCACATAATCACCGAACCATCTGTCGGAGTTCAATTCTTGCTCAAGAGCTTCATTTTCACTTTTGGCAAATTGTGTTTTAGCTGTCCATCACAGTTGGTCTTTATCCTTTGCTTGTATAGACATTAACACTGGTTCTAATCTGGACTGTGTCACACAAGGGGCCCGGTGCTGTTCTGTGACCCACAATCCGCTTTCATCGCCGCTATAATTAGGGGTGACACTAATCATTGATATAAGTTTCTTTTGTTCATCCCGCTGTCATCATAATCCACTCATCAGTAGCGACCCTCCATATGTCGCGCCCACTGTGTAAAGTCTTTGTTCGCTAATTTGGAAACAAAGGCTGTCGCCTCATGCGGCTTTACATCGACTCAAAAGCTCCAACAGACCGGCGCAAAGTGACTGCCTCTTACATGCGATTTGACACATTAGCGGGACAGTACAGTTTTAATGCTGAATATGTATTTTGGAGAGTCTACTACAGTGGAGACAAAGATTTCAACGAGGTTCGACTCGAATGCAAATTTATAAATTTGTAATTCAGGGCAAAATTTCCCCAGAAAATCAAGTTCACACAACTTCTAACTGAGCAAAGTCTCATCAGTGCAACATTGCCAAGTGCTAATTTGCTTCTTTTTTTTTTTTTTTTTCTTAAAAATAAAACAATAATCATAACTGTTAAAAAATTACCTTTTTCAAATGGTCTAGAAACCTGCCATTGGCTCTGAAGGCAGTCACGTGTGTGTACTTTAAATATGGGACGGGGTGTTGGTAGCCTGAGATTTTCTAAAATGCTAACATTCCTATCTCACTGCTGGAGTCATAGGGGGTAAGGAGGAGCTGTACATTCAGAGACACTCATAATCAAATGTGGGCAGTCACTCCATAAAATACAAGCCGATGGATCCCAGGTGCATATTTAGCTCCTTTTGTGCCCAGAACATTGTGTTCCCTTTTTGCTGAAGTCTCTCCCTTCCTGAATGTTTAATGACTTTTGCTGCTGTGGGTTTGGCCACACGGCAGAGGGCTGTGGAGCTAAAGCTGCAGAGGTTTGGTCTTTAAGAGAGAAGTCTCTTAGGACAAAATATTTGAATGTTTGGCCAATAAATGGCTCATTGTTTCTACTGTTGGCTGACCTCTGACCCTTGCCCTGGTTCTTTTTTTCTCTCTCGCTGCAGAGGCAAGTGGCCGGTGAGGTGCAGACGCAGCCACAGGACCGCGCCGTCAACCAGATAGCCATGATGCTGGCCATCATGGGCCTGAGCTTGTCCTACTACAGTGCCAGACAGATGACGGAGAAGGTCCAGGTCCAGCCTGTGCCCTGAAGAGACTTCACTACTCTGATTGTGGAGTTAACGGATGAGCCAATGAGAAGTGGGGGGGAGGGTGGGGGGGGGGGGCAGGTGCAGAGACGCAGCAGTGTCATCCAGGACTGCACTTTTCTGACCTCGTAGTCAGTCACACTCAAGACACTGAATATCTGGGATCCCTCACACACCATGTGTTTTCTGTACTCGTTGTCAGGGCTTTGTGGGGGATGGCTCACTTGGGTTGTGGATAAGACTGCGGTTTTATGGACTGGTTTGGTTGGGTGATCAAAACCAGCTGACTGCCAACTGGGTCTGACCATTAGTCATTACAAAAGTACATGCTTGCAAGATGCTGTCTATACTGTTCTGAGCTACAAAAAGGGAGGGGGAACTCTTGAATAACTGTGAATTTTGCCACAGCGCAACACTTGTCCAAAAGGAGTTAAATAAAAGAACAGTAATGCCTTTTTAAGGGAAAGGCTGACTGCAATTGAGATGTACCTTGTGATGAAGTGATGGCAGGCCCAGGACAGGGTTAAAGGCGATTCAAATTTAGCCCAAACCGTTTTTTGTTTCAGGTTTTCTGTAATTCTTTGTTCCTTCTCGAGAGAACCTTGCAGATCCTTGTGAACACATTAAGAGCTGTATTCACAAACATACAGTATATACTTGTGAAATGTATCTGTCGGGTGTCAAAGATTCAGTGAATAGTTGCACAAAAGTGCATTTTTGTTTTTTTTTTAAACGATACATTAGATCTTCGAAGGGACTTAAAACTACTCGTTAATTATATATTCTTTTTCCTGTGATTTCACACTATTTTATCATAAATCAGTGAAGTCCTGTTGAGATGTGTGATTATCTTTAATAAGCATGCTGGTTAAGAACCCTTCCTGCAATAGCTACTACATGTTAATGCAAACGGCTAACTTTAATGAATATTGCATGGGTGTGCAGACTTTTAATCAAAATCAGCCTGTCTTGTTTTTGATTTATTACTTTATTTTGTAAAGATTTAATAAAGCTGTGACTATTTGGAATGAGACGCGCAGTGAGTGTTCAATGACGTAAAAACAGTCTTGAGTTGAGTTCGAACAGTTCCTCTGTTGGCGCTGGAGGCTACAGAGCTGCAGTATTTCCTGTAACAGAGGCTCTGTGCTTCATCTGCACGCAACAGGAAGTAGTTGAGCTGATGCACACATTGTGTCTTTCAGTGAAGCAGCCTTTTTTCACGCCTGCTAGTGTGCTCTCTTCTCACGCAAGCCCAAATGTATCGTGAATTTGCAAAAATGTGGTTCTGTAACGATGGCTTGGATTGAGGGTCAGAGTAGGAAGCAATAAAGGCATGTGAGGAATGGAAGGTTTTGGGACAACATGCTCAACAAGTCTATTAGTTCCAAGGAGAACGTCATGTTCTACCTTGACTGTCAAGTTTCAAAACGCAAGCAAACGGGACGTTGGGGGGAGATCTGGGATTATTTTGGTTGGTTAGTTCGTAATGTGACGTCTGGATGGTAAATTAAAGAACATACTAGCAGCATTTGTCCTCTATATTAAGTGGCAGCCATTTTTAACACTTGAGTATTTATGAAATATTCTTCATGTTTTTAGACTCATAAACCGTGTGTAACAGGAAATATAAGTGAGCGAACTAAAAACACCCTTGGTTCCCCTGCAACACAGACATGTTTGAGGCAGATTGGTGATAGCTTTTCCACACGTCCTCCCCTTTCTCTCGCAGGGCGTGGAGTTTAGAAAGTGCGCATGCCTGTTCACGGTCTGATGTGATGTCCTGTGACAGGCTGAGGCCTCGTTGGGCGCCACATGCCCCTCTGCCCACGCTGCAAGCCCCTCCCCCCTCGCACATCACTGGGCAAAAAACCTCGCTTTGCCGTCTCAGTGATGCAAGTTAAGGACACAACCCTTAACGAAGGGCGCCCATTGGCTAACCAGTGGTGCGTCACCAACATCGGCCTGGTTCTGAGCCACAGAGACAAAAGGATGGGGATAAGGTCATTGGTGGGGAATGTGGGTGTCGAAGATCATTATTTGGGATGGAAGTGGGGGTTCCATTCCCTTTGTTTTATTTAGTTTTGATATAAAGAATTGTCACAAAGGGGCATACGATTGCACTCAGAAAGAGTTGGCCTCAACAGTCAAAACCAAGTGAAGTTCTGCAGATGAGGTGGTTTGGTAGATGCTTTTTGTAGAGACTGGTGATTGGTGGAATTTGGAGCTGCAGGTGCAAAAAAGAGATGCCAACAGGACTGAGGCTCATTCTCAGATGACTGTCACCTTTAATGTTCATAACCTCCCTGACGAGCAATTATGAGAAATATGCTCAACTTGTGTGTGTGTGCACAATGAATGTGTTGCTTCTCTGTATCTTCAGATATGATTTATTCTTGACAGGCTGTATAATAATGAAGCAATATGGTAAACTCCATTTGAAGCATAATAGCACTTTAGCTTTACTTTCTGTCAAACAGTATTGTACATGCCTGTTCATGTTTGAGCCTCACAAGGCATTTCCTCCCTCCTGTGAACAAATTGTTTTGCTGCTGCTTTTTGTTCAATAAAGACATTAACATATATTTCCTGAATGTCATTTTATGAACTCGTGATCAGCCTACTGCTGAAAAGTCACATGAATTAGTTCATAGTCACCATCATCATATCTATCGATAGATAGATAGAGGACCGGGTTAAGAAAGCTTGTGGACCAAGGCCATACTTTGTCAGCATTTTTTTTTTTTTTTTTCTTTTTTAATCCAGAAGTTTGATTATGTCCATCTGACAAGAACATTATAGAAGCAAAAGAAAACGGGCCATTTGACATGTTAATGCTCGCTGACCAACCCACCAAGTTTCAACCACTTCTGTAGAGTTAGCGAGGGGGCTCATTTTGCCAGTTGCACCTCAAGGCCTTCACAGGCTTCTTCGTGGTTGTTTTTATTACCAGTTTTTTTGAAAAATGTTCTTGAGTATGTGCTCACTCTTGGCTGTCTCCAGAAATCTTTTTTTTTATTTTACATTTCTAGGCCCCACAAGCTGTGTCAATTTTGAGACCCAAAAACAGAATTGCAGGAGTTGCTCACAGGATTGCGTCTAAGGGAGGGTGAAAATAACTAGTTAGTATGATGCGTTCTATATTGGGGATAACAGTGCACATTTTCAGATGGTCTCTCCTGGCTGGTATTCATAGTGTGGCACTTGGATGTTCACACAAAAAAATAAATAGTTGTATGAATATACTGTTGAATGTATATGACATGATCGATGTAGAGCTGGTGCAAAGACACACAAAACAGTATATCGGCATCATGAAGAGGCAAACATAAAGAATGTAAACCACAGTCCTGCAAATCAACGTCCCTGTTTATGTGCAGAGACCACATCTCAGCTCCCCTGGCTGAGTCAGGCTGAAGAGATGGAAGCGTGCACGTGCCCGGCTGGAGCATGTGCTGGATGGAGGTTCACTCTGGAGGGTGGCCTCTGCACGGGGAGCCACTGGCGTCAAACGTGCCGACTGCAGAAAAAACAGTCTCTCTCAGATCCCCGACAACCCCACCCTGCAGCACAATCGGCAGCAACCGCTTTTATCTGCTGCCACATCAAATCATCTTTAAATATAGACTTTTACTTCGAAAAAGACCTCAATAACTAAAAATATGTTTTGTTTTTTAATCACTTTCATGGGCCACAGGACAACCTGCCATGCCCCAAAAACAAACAAGTAAAATGCAATGTGCTATATAAGTTAACCTGACAATTGTAAAGTTGTGTTTATAGGTTTGCTGTAGCTGTTAGTGCTTCAGTATCTCAGCCCTTTAAACTGCCAGGTCAGTGATGTAGGACGCCATGTTCTGTCTCCTAATCTCACTCAGATTTTTTTTCTATCTCCCTATGGCTTCATTTTCATTAGGATTTACTGAAAAGCGGCTTATCTCTGGACTCTAAGAGCTGTTAGTTTCTCTATTCATGGGCTCAAAGGTTGTTTTCCCCCACTGGGTTTATGATTATTTTGCTTTATGACTGTTGCTAATTGATGTGGTCCATTCGGGACAAACAAAGTATGCAGCGATAGATATCAGACAAACCCTATAGATTTTACACTGCGACTACTTGCCGAAATAATGTGCAGTGTGGCAAACATGGTGTCACTTATTCTATGAATATTCTGGATAAATGACTAATGACGAAACTAATGATGTTCCTGCCAGCCTCAGCTGTGTGTGGTGCTAAACATATGTTAGCAACACTCTGAACTAAGATGACTAACATGACAAACATTGTCATGTAGCATTGTCGTTGTGAGCAAGTTAGCATGCTGGTATTAGCATTTAGCTCAACCTGACAGAGCTGCTAGCATGGCTAACTCTTGTTTAAACCTATTTCTGTTGTTTCAATTAAAAAAAAAAAAATCTTATAACAATGTTGTCACTCAATCTAAAACCATTTGTTCATCTTTTGTCATGCCAACAGGAAACACATGGAGGAAATCATTTGCAGAACATGTTGCAAAGCCGTCGTCGTTAGTTAGACCTCTCTCCACAGCACTGTGTCAGCGCTGAAGAAAGCTTCAATGGAAATCACTGGAGGAGGAAGTCGTGACTTAATAAACCACAAACATTCAGCACCGTCACGCAAGTTTGTGCCTCGCAGTGTCATGAACACATGCTAGGATTTATATATATTCAGAGCAGATGTTGAGTATTTTAACTGTTGGATGTCATCCTTCCACTTTGTATCAAACATGGGAAGTAGTAGCCTACTAGACCAAAACAAAAAAGCAAGAACCTGACGCATAACATTATGGTTATATCATTAAAGTCTGCTGTGAAATCAAGCAGCTTATCAACTCGTTTTGTCTTTATTGAAGTCTGTAAATGTAAAGTTGAAGTACTTTTCAATGTAATTCAGATTATTTGAAGAATTCACATATGTCAGCTGTTTTGAGTAAAATATTTACCTCCAACAAGTGATTAAGTGGTGGAAAAACGATCCCACTATATTGGACATTAGTCAAAACTGACCCCAGTATTTTCTGCATCCATTTATCCCTTTTTGAAATCAGGTCAGACCCGTCCTTTTGCCAATGAAAGCCTGAGAATGTTGTTTCAACACCCCACGAGGTTTTCATGGGCACATTTTTTGCTGAGCCGCTGCATGAGAGGAGCAGTAAGCTGGTGATTTCCTGTCTATACTGGCGGGGGATGTTTTTAAGAATGCTAGCGACTGTGGGAGCCAGAGCTGGGAATAGACAGTGGTTTGGGAATTATAGAGTCTTATTTCTGTCATGAGCAGATAGTGTTCTGCAATTATCTCCCTGGACATACTGTTATACATATAAGGTGTTTTCACGTAGTTTCAGTCACTGTTTGAGAGCTTCAGGTGTTTGCATTTATAGAGTATTTATGTGGACAAAGTGTGTGTGGGAGGTTTCTGTTACACTGCAATACTTTTTTTTATTGTCTCTCCTCTCTTTCCAGTATTCACAGACTTTTTTGCCTCATTCTCCACACCTGTGCAATACTGCTTGGTTAGAAAATATCTTACCCAAATGTGGAGTGTTTTATTAGGAATAGATCACCTTTCCCAGCTCAATGCCATCGTACAACATTGACATATATCACTGCAAGGGTATACCTTCAGGCCATGTGACCTTCTTCTCCGCTGTAAACAGGATCTTATATAAGTTGTATCATGACAGTACTCACATGCACCTACACAGGC